GATTAATAGTTATTCAACTTGTTCAATGTTTAACTGGTTTCTTATGGTTTTTTTGTAATTATTTGTTTCAAGTTTATGTGAGTAATTTTCTTTCCCATTAGGACAGTAACAATGTGCGTAAATGGATTAATGAGGTTGAAGATAAAAAGCTGGACAATTTGGTTCATGATATACTTCATGATTGTGACAATCAAGAAGCTTGGGATGTAATCGCAGTTCTAGTTAGCAAGAGAGAAAGCATAAAGAAGCGGCTTTCTTGAGTGATTCTGAGAATTATACAACGAAAAAGGATAACAACTTATTGGAGATAGTCTTCATTGAGAATCTTCTAATATAAGTACAATTATTACGTTTTTATTTTTAATATAATAGAATATGTTATAATTTTCTTATTTGGTTGCCTTTGATTTATTGTAGAGCCATGATAATGAAATGGCAAACAATGCTGTTTTGGTCATGTTGAATACACTGACAGAAAATGTAGACAACATGGAGACCAACCTTGGTACCACGTTGTTGTCGGGAGTGGATGCAGCAAGTGATACAAAAGTTAAAGCTCTATTTATTCCCTACACTCAGAAACTCGCTACATTAGAGGAGGAGATAAAAAAGCTGCGATAAAGAAATGTACCCGCATATCCAAAAATAACTACCAATTCGATTTCTAATACTAATGAAAAAGTCACAAGTTAAGCTATAGTACGTTAGTTTTACCATCCTAATCTTGTATGTGTCTGAATATGATGTCCGTAGTTTTATGAATTTGTTCGGTAACTTATCATTTAGGAGAAACTGTTTTTTGAATGACATTTTTGTTGTATAAAATGGTTATTTTCTATGGTTTTGTTTGGTGTATAAAACAGTTTTTATGCGTATTAAAATTGTTTGTTTTGCAGTCTTGGATGGTTTAGATGAAAACCACATTCCAGGATGATTTATCAATTTGTGTTGTCAAAATTCTGAAAAAAGGCAAGCAAGAAGATAACATGTGAGAAAAAAGTTGTCAAAGCTCAAATATAAGTACCACATCTTCTTGATTCATCTTCTAGGGAAATATATACAGATCCAATATAGCGTGACATATTCAAAGGAGTTACTGCATATTTAGATGCAACCGTAGCAAAGGTTAACAAATAAATTAATCTACCAAAACCTCCCATACCTCAACCCAAACAACAAACAAAGTTAGCATCGAGTTAACTATTTCCGTTTGTTGGAAACTCTACAGTGAAGCGCATCATCAGAGGTGTAACTTTATGTGTCACCGCATCTGACCTGTTTGCTGATGTGGACAACAGTAAAACTCAGAATATACTTTATTTCTAACTGGGTATGTCACCCTTCTTTACTTATGTTGTTATCAGGTGTATATAACCGGTAAATGTGTAACAATTTTTTTACCAATTTAGTTGGAAGGGTCCTGATGGAACAAACAACTCTAGTGTTGAATTCTACAACATTATTACAACTCCGAGAGATGCATGACCTACTGATACGTACGGGTAGTTGATTAGTTCGGTTAGTACCGTTTCTTTACAAAAAAAAAACAGATTGTACATTGGTACATATAGCTTTATAGAATATATCATTAGCTAATTTTTTAATCGTTTGGCCGTAGGCAGCATATGTGGTGTGCAATGCATATCTTTCATCAGTGATTTCTACGTGATCCATCTAATAAGCCGTCGGTTAGTACCATTGTTGGACCAATGGTTTGTCAACAAGCTGGTACGTGATTAAAAAGAATTCAACGCTAAAACGTGGACTGCGACAGATTACTATAAGGGTGCCTTCAACTGTGCATATCCTTATGACTCGGT